TGAATATTTGTCGACGAGTTTCTTTGTAATTTATTACGATCGGATTAAGAGTTATTAGGTTGATAAAGAAATCATTTTTGTTATTTTATAATTTGTACCTTTTTTTCAGCTACACACGAAGAATGGGGCTATGCAGATACGAACAATGATGGTTTGTATAAAGCAACAATGATAGTTGATCACTTCCTTCGATCTGTACCGTGAGAAACCCGAAGTCCTTCTAATATTAGAGGCAATTTGTAACATTATACATGAACTATTAATAATTAAAAGCGAGATAGCAAGATATCAAGTACTCGTCTTGGTCTTTTTTTGCTACGCAGAATGTAATTTGTTTTTGATCCTTGAGATTTTGGCACAGCACGATTGCACGATTTCTTCTGAACGCACTCCAAGGTCTAGAAATAAATTACATGAAATCAATGATTGTTATGGGAATTCGTTGTTTTTATTTGCCATTGGTTGAAATAAAAAGTCTCGCGCCATCAATTCTCAATTGGCGAGAGGAAAGGCCGTTGCTAGGTTAGTATATGCGCTTTCACCAGAAAAAAAAAAGCGCTGACTTGTATGTTTTCATCGAAGTCTTCTTTCTTAATTCAGTTGCCAGCTCCTATAATGATTACCCAGAGTAGTTTACTAGCAATCTATCGAAAACCTTGTTGTAAAAAAAGGAACAGGAACCATGAATTTATCCAATCTTGTCATTAGTAATTGCACCCCCACCCGGCCATCACCGGGCAAATAACCAACACTTAAATAGATGAGTGGAAGGGACATTTACTACCACTTAAAAAACGGAAAAAAGGACGGTTGGGCGGATAAAATTGAAGACTATTTAAAAGGATTGCAATTGGGAATTTGAAAACTGTCCCGTCCAACATTTTTAAAGATGGTTGCTTTTGTTTGTGAGTCATTCAGTTTTAACGCTCGGGAGACATTTCTGATCGTCATAATGCAAGGCGGAAATTTTATCATATAGACACGATTTGTTTAAACGGTATGTTGCACGGCGAGATTTTTAGGATCAAAACTGAATGGACTAAACTGATAAGATCGTTTGTTTTAAATGAGTCCTTTTTTGAAATTAATTACAGTGCTAGGCCCAGCAGACTGGAAAGATAGATATGAGGACTGTGGTCATCGAAAGCAATCCCCAATAAACATCGTTAAAAGAGAGACCTTCAAGAAGAGCTCCAGTCCACTAAAAATCACTTTCGACAACGCAAGGGGCCTTGTAACTGGAACGTTTAAGAATACTGGACATTCACCAGAACTTGAAATTGCTGATTCCAATGGAGCTTCACTAACTGGGGGTCCACTGGGGGACAAAACTTTTGAATTGCTCCAGTTTCACGTTCACTTTGGCTGTGCTAATGATCGCGGATCTGAGCACACCCTCGATGAAAAAGGATTTTCTGGTGAGGTAAGTAACAAAAACCACTTGAAACTTTTTGTGTCACGGTGTCTATCTGTGGCTGTAAAATTTCAGTTTTCTTGTAGCTAGGCCCTGGACGGTCTGTCAGGGCACACATCCGCTGGTCAAAACGATTGCCCAGGACACGATAGCCTACCTTTCCGACACTAGGAGCTGACCGAAGTCATTAGCTCCACTTTTCAACTGCGATTATACTGATAATAACTAGAGGTACCTTCCGGCAAGTGCCAGCGAAGCGAATCTGTTTATCTTTTGTGGAATTTGATTACTCTGATCTTCACGATATCTTTTTTTCATAATTTTGGAGGTTAAAAATGGATTCCGCTATAGAAAAGGATGGCACCCAACTTCAAAACAACAACTTTGGCCCATTCTAGGCTTTCCCTTTTATCAAACAATTAAACAACATGGCTTGAAGCTTTGTTGGTAAATATGAGCAAGTTTGTACTTATGTTTCATGGAAAATTCCATTGTATGAAAACTATAAACGTTAGAAAGATCTCAAATGAGGCCTTTGACTGCTGAAATTAAAAATAATAAGGAAATTCCGAGCAACAAAAATTCCGAGCAACAGCGTCATCAGGGATAAGAAAAATATTTTGCGTGGTAATATACATAAGAAAAAATTGGTGTAAAGTAAAATGAGTCAAAAGCGCAAGAATTGGGCGGAATGTATTAGAAGTATGAAAATAAAAACTTGAATAAGGGCCTGTTTACATGGAGTGGGGGACCCCGGTCTAGTGGGGTTGGTTTCTTTTGTTTTCACGCTCTGGGGGACACAAAACAAAACAAACTTACACCACCAGACCGGTGTCACCCACTCCATTTAAACAGGGTCTAATATACAAAGATTTAATGAGCGAGTGTCACAGGACAAAGAGTCTCTTGAAATGCATATTGATAGTCTTCAAAAAAAATTCGTTGCATTCCTCACGGGAATGTAAATCGAGCAGCAAAAAAAACATACTGGTTGACAAAATCTCTCGAAAGACATAAATAAATTCTAAAAAAAAAGGCCGGCAAATACGTTGCATTCCTCACGGGAGGTGAGGACTGGCTCAATGTAAATCGACCTGCGAAGAACACGTTGTTTCTGATAAAAGTTTTGAGAATATAACCCAATGCCTTGATCAACTACCGCTTAAAATTCAACTCACAAAGGAAAAGAGAACACTGAAAACCCTGGTTCTGAGTCGAGAAGCGAGCACACTACCTCAGTGTAAATCGAGCTGCAAAGAACAAGCTGGGTCTGACAAAAATTTGAGCGTAATCCTATTCCTTGATTAGCTGCTGCTTTAAACGCAATTTATAAAGCAAACCAGAGCACTTAAATTGCCTTTTCAAACTAGAAATCGTATTAAAGCTTGCTCACCTGTTGGGTCCTCTGAACAGACAACGAACAGCTGCACACTGAATCACCTAATTTCGGACTTGCCTTGTCCCTAGGCCCCATTATTATGCGAGGCCGAGCCGTTTCGGGTCACGTGGTCCCAGAAAGTTTTTGAGGCCTAGACAAACTCGGAGAAGTGAGACATTTTGTCTCACTTGGGGGCGGAGCTTTAAGAAGCGGGCGAGCTGTCAATAACTTTTCCGCGCTGATGAAAGATGTCCAGCAGCCACGGAGAGTACAGAGGACCAAGCATTTTTATTCTATGCACGTTTTCATTGTTGAAAGTCGTTTTGCCTTTCTTTTTCGTTTATCGCAATCGACATTAAACTAATTTGAACTTTATTTCATCTCAAAAACTATTTGTAGGCTAAGCAAAACAGCGTCGCAAAAAAATTATTTGATCAAGAATCGGAAGGTAAGCTAGAGAAATAAGTTTATATTTCTTCTTGGATATGACAAGCTATCTCTCGTTTCTCTATTTTCGCTTGCTCCTATAAATTTCTCCTTATCATTTCACTTCGAAATACTTTATGTAATTTAATTCTTGGATTTAGAAGCTTATCAGACTAATCGGACAGGCTGTTGAATTTGGTCTCTAAATTTGGTACAATGTCAACAAACTACTGTTTCAAATCTTTTTATCAATAAGGACTATCATTTTAATGGTTCATTTGAGCATGAACTAAAAGAGAAAGTACTTGCACGTTATACAGTAGTATTTTTTTCCGATTCAAAGTAATATTCTTGTTCTTCTATAACACGAACTAGGTTAGTTATTTTTGTAATAGTCTCAATAGTGTCGATCTTTAGCGAAGGATATTCACGCGCAAAGTTATTTATAGATTATTTCAGTTGACCGTGTGAACTTTTCATAAATGCAAAAATGCTCACGCATGCGCACTCCGAGATTGTCTAGGCGTCTCCCGGCCGTTCGTCTCGGATACGTCCCCGAAAGGCATTGACCGAGAGGGCCTGAAAAGACGCCGTACAGGGACTAGGCAAATTTCGGACCACGAGTTGTAAATACAAGGCCATGACGTCACTACCCAAATATGGGGTCTTACTTACACGCAAATATGGTCAAAAATGCAGCTTTTGCCTACATCGCGCGGCGTTATAATTCTGCCTTCGAGGCAACCTCGCTTCTTAGCTCGGTTGCCTCGTTGGCGATACCAAGGATGTCAATGGATATTTCGAAGGTAGGTATTTCCTTAGGATTCCGTCTCTTAATGGGACGTCCCATCTACTTGAAACAAATGTTGCCCGACAAGAAAATTGTTAAAAAATGGTGATTAAAAGTAAAAAAAAAACTATTTTTATCATAATTCTCTCAGGCTCTCACTCCCATAAAGTTTGGAAACCCTGTCACTACTTAAGGATACGACAAACGAACATTTATACCCTATTGAAAGCTCAAACCCAAAAATGGGTAATGAATTCAAGGGAAAAACGAGAACAAAGAATTTTAAAATAACACACGAACCTACATTAAATCGATTTCATCATACTCCAAAGTTTTTTCTGTTTATGCATCTACCTTATAAAGTCTTCTATCCAGGACGTCCTGAAGTGAATTGGCACATTTGTTACACTTAATGTAATAAAGATCGTCACGTTTTGAAATCCGCAATTACTGAGTTATTCTTACCCACCCACCCCCCCCCCAAAATCTCGAAAATGTGCCAGTAACTCTGTTGAAAATGCAATCCCTTCATGATAGTCAATCCAGTGGTAAAAATGCGACCCCATCCAGCGGCACATCCCCATTAGCCTATTACTAGGAAATGCCCTCCCCCCCTTCCCCGCCAGCCCCTGGGTGCGGCACATACTTATCTACGTGCAAGAACCAATTGTCTTGTGACTTAAAAAGAAAGGTTTTATTTTGCCTGGCGCCGAACACGTGCTTTTGCTTCCAGTTCTGATTGACCAGTTAGCATGTCTACGTCTGCAATGTGATTGGCCAGATGTGCTAGGTTAGTTTTTGTTTGCAACACATTATTTTCGCAAAGGGTGACACGATGGGATGCGAAAGTATGAGTGAAACATGACCTTCCAGAAGTTTTAGTTTGAATGGAATTCCTCGTACTCCCTATACACATTTGATATACGCGTGCCCTTCATGGAATAAACTCATTGTGAATAACTGTGAGCTTTTGCTCCTTTCCTCAGCTTCATATGGTATTTGACGGTCCTGGAGAAGAGCTAGCAGTCATAGCCCTTTGGATTAAGGTACACCCTGTCTACTTCTCTGGTTACTTTTCCTTATTCCCTACCAATAACAAATATGTGAACAAATCGCGACGCAGTTTTGCGTTTCTTTAGTTGAATAAGTTAGCTTCAAAATAAAAATTGTTTCAAGGAGTCAATTTTTTTCACAACAAAATGCGATTTATAAGACCCTCCGAAAAAAAAATCATAATACTTCATTGCTAAAAATTAAAATTGCTGTTTGGCAATTTATACAAGAATACCTTTATTGTGTCCTTATAAATTTAAAAAAAAAAATGTGGTAGGTAAAGAGACTTTCTAGCTCCAGGTTTTTTCCCCGAATATACCTGCCGCTAAAAATTGATCTACGGAAGAATGGATATTTAATTGTTCAAAAAGACAATTAAATAAATTGGCAATAACGAATATTATTATATGGCTGAGTCTGTTTTTGATGAGAACGAAGCTGACGTAGAAACTGAATCGTAACCTCACCGAGGAAGAGAATGCTACTCAGTGTTTGAAAATTTTAACGCAGATTACAATTGAAGACGAGAATGTACTGGCAGAAAGAGAGGCTTTCCCAAAAACATTAAACGAGCGAATCCTTGGACAATGACAACAAACTTACCTTGAAAAGCTTCTTTGCCTTTTGCAGTGTTTTGTTTACAAGGACAAACAGAGGGAAGACGGAAACGTCTTCAAGACAGACAGTGTCCGGTTTCCAAAATACTCCAGCGTTACATTAAAGGGCTAAAACTTACAGTGCTCTTAGTTTTGACCAAATAAACTTTTTCAACATGGCGAATTTGTTTTTAGTTCCTCCGAAAGCCTTTGTTATGTGCTATTGTTTTCGTGCGCCAATAAAAACTTTCTTTTTTGACGCCTGTCAAATGACTGTCAAATCGTGCGTTCTGCACGTTTGTTTCCGGTCCCACAAACAGGAAGAACCCTTATAATAAACCTCTTATTAGCCTCGTTTTTTCGGTCGGTACTGTAAATTACGAATCCTTGTTTTTTCCCATCGATTTATGGCCCCCGCGCTTCGTGCTTGGGCCACAAATCGATGGGAAAAAACTCGGTCCGTAATTTACAGTACGGACCGAAAACTCGGCTAATAAGAGGTATATATTTCAGCTTCCTTGGCTACATCTAAGAAAAACGTAGAAGTAGAAGGACGATAAATAAAAGGTTGCAAATCACATAAAGTTCGATCTATTGAATTATTTACAGGCGCCCTCAAAAGGAAACAAAATTTTTGGAAAGTTAGCAACTCTGACACAATACATCCTCGAAGTTGGTAGGTATATCAGAATACTTAAAAAAGGTTAAACACGAAGAACATGTGAACAAATCCTTACTGTCCCTTCTTGCTTTTATTCTCTGTTTATTGGCAATCGGCGACGCCCGCCCTCTTCTTCCTACACTTGCACAGTTTATCAGCAATCATTTCATCCTTTAAGTTCCAATATCTACGTAAAAATTCTCCAGACCGATCTTCATGCATTTCCTTAAAGAATAGGTCGAGAGATTTGAAAAAAAGATCAACGCACTTTCTGTTTGGCAATCATTTATTAATTCACTCCCCCAAAAATTTATTTTACACCAAATTTACTCAGTGCAAATATGGTGCATGAACAAAGTGCAATTTACAGTTAAATCAAGGGCAGAGATGTTAAATACCTCATTTGCCCTCAAACTTACAACCCATGTCAACTGGGATGCAAATGAGGTATTTTTACCATCTTTGCCTTTGATTCCCTCCTAGTTGGACTTTTTTGCGCTATATTTGCGGAGGGCAAATCTGTGTAAATCTAATTTTTCCTTCAGTGATTATGACCTTTCCTCTTGTTTGTGCTATTACTAGTAAAATTGAAGATGATGTTGGTTAGGCCCTGGGATTTAAAGGGTTTAACTGCTGATGTCACTGCTCAGTAAGGGAGAATGTCGTTGCTCTCGTTGCTTACATGATATAATTCAATTTTAGTTTGGTATAATTTTAGTTAAACCTTGTTATTTTACCATGTTAAAAAATTACTAAAATATGTTAATAAATAACTATAGCACAAAAAGTGAACTAACAAATGAAAATTATTGAGCTGCTTTTAGGAAACTTTGAAGAGCTCAAATTTGCCAAAAACGTTTTTGAACAAGACTTGAGAACACGTCAGATCTCTGCCTTGTTTGTAGAAAACGCGGCTGCGAGCGATGAAGGTCTATGGGAACGCGCGTTAAGTGTTGGCGTAAAAGACTCTGGGAAGGGTCGGAGTTTTGCACTTCGCTTTCCCCATGATCCCTTGCGCGGAACTAAAATCACTCCAATCGATCCCGATTACACGTCCCGGCGGTAGAGCGCGCCTGGCGAGGTTCGAGGCAGCTGAAATCTTTAACTCGCAGAACGATGTGTGGCTCATCTGCTTGAACGTTTAAGGAAACCATTTAATGTCACCCTATTTTACAGGTAAAACTCATACTGTTGACAAGACCGATGGAATTTATCTCATGGATCTGATTCCCCAACATTGTTCAAACGGTAATGGCAATGGTAATGGCAACGGTAATGGCAATGGTAATGGCAACGATGATGGCAATGGTGATTGCAATGGTAATGGCAACGGTTATGGTAATGGTAATGGCGATGGCGGAAATGGCCACGGCAATGATAAGGATCCCAAAAGTTTGACTTTAGAATGTTACTACAGTTACGAAGGTTCCCTCACTACGCCTCCTTGCTTTGAGACAGTACACTGGATAGTTGTTAAAGACTATCTCCTTGCCTCTACCAACCAGGTATCTAATGCTCACTAATATGAATAACTCAGTTTTACAACTGAGAGGATATGACACTCTACAAGTATACTAGAGTGATTATACTTGAACCGTGTAAAAGGAAGTAATATGCTACGCACTATTTTGCACTAATTCTGTTGTCTTCTTTTGTTTACCTCTTGATTTTTTGCATTATTTGTTAACATCTGTTTCACGGTTCAAGTAAAATCCCTTTAAGATACGGAATCTGATTAAGACCGGTCAGTGTCACAATATATAGCGATGACCGGAGCCAATTCTAGGCATGTATTGCGTTAACTACTATGCAGACCGTTACAGGATACATTGAAATTATTGTGAATGCAATACCAAAATTGTGTTTAAAACAGTCTATGATGCATCGTACGTCAGATTTTATTATCACACCGGCGTCTTTACTTTTAAGTAGCATAGCCATAGATATCGATAATGTTAGTTCAAATTGTGCTAGAAACAATTAGCTTAAACCATATGATGGGTCGTAAGTTTCCTTGCTTGATATATTTTAATTTTTTTTCGGTGTTTCAGCTTAACAAGTTCAGGAAACTTAAGGGTGAACATGGTAGAAATCCTCCTCTCATGTGCGACAACTACAGACCAATCCAACCACTGAATGACCGCACTATTTACTCCACCACAAATAACGATTAGTATCAACTCCATGTGCAATGAAACAGATGAAGAAAACGCTAGCAGTAATCATAATGGTAAACATAACCATGCACTGTAACATTTGTTTAGTCAAACCCCGTTAATACGGACACTCTGAACACAGAGGGGGCATAGAAAGACTGTCACGAACGGAGTGTTCTTATTAATGGCGTTGAATAGAGAGGAGAAGTGTGTCGTCAAGTTACCATGGTAGCCAAATTTCTGGATGCAACGACGACGGCGACAGTAACGAGAACGACAAAAAAAATAAACCGATAGGTTTAGATCAGCAAAACAACAACTTTGCACGTGCATCACGCTTTTTCTTAGCCGTCGTTGCACGACTGCGACATGAAACTTCCTAATTTTACGCGCCCGCTTTGCAGAGTAGGTGAACACAACACAAAAAATTACTTTTTCTTTTTCTAAACTCAGATTGGGTCCTCTCGGACTAAATCCAGAAAATTTTGCCAACAATTGACAAATTAAACGAAATTGAATAAGATCGATGAAGTTTGAAATAATGCGTATTTGCTTTTTAAGTGAATTTTCGGTTTGTTGTCAAGCAAACATTTTGCTACCATGGCGACGTGACGCAACGAATTCTCCTCTCTATTTAGGGAAAATAAAAGGGCGTTCTTCCCCCAGGGACAAAGCAAACTGCTCGTAATAATGAGATGTCCTTATTGAGCGGGTATCGGAAAGAGGGGTTTGACTGTATCTAAAAAGCAACCCTAAGAGACATTTTTTAGGGATTATATTAAAAGGAAACCGCAAATTGCCAGGAACAGCCAACGACCGCTTTACCAAATTGATTCTATGAATAGCCTGTTGAAGTGTTTTTAATGCCCGGAAAAAGCAGTCCGGTTTATATCAAGAGAACCTCATTTCCCGGGTAACCTAAGGTGAGTCAACTTTAAGTCAACTCCAAGCTGAGTCAACTTTAACGAGCGTTTATATGGAAACTGAATAGAAATTCGAAGTTGATCCTTTTTTCCAAACTAACAACGCTCCCACGTGCTCTGATTGTCTCGTTAAGCCCGACTTGACCCGGCTGGGCGAGCCAAAGTTTTTTTTACATGGAGAAACGTTTGGCTCGGCTAGGAGGGTGACCCTACCACCATCACAACAAAGTTGACCCAGCTCGGCGGGTCTCTCTTCTAATCTGGTTCGCCACGTTTTGTAATGAGATGTATGAAAAGTTTGTTGGCTCATCCGCCAGGCAGGGTAGCTCGCCAGTCGGGTAGGCAAGTGACTCTTGTACTTGGGACACCTTTTCTACATATAAACGGTGCCTAAGCGCTGCAACTTTTTATTCATCTTTTCGGTCATCAGATGATAAGCTTTTACGCCTTGTCCAATTTACTAGGCTTACCCTTAATGCCTTAACCTTGGATTCTTAAGTAGTAAGTTTTACTTTTTGACTAAACCTTTAAAAATTTGAAATAGTGAAATCTTTCTGATACCAATTTCCGTCACTGTTTTTAAAACTGACAATTGTAGGAGGTCATTTAATACGAATAATGGCCGAATCTAGGAAGTAAATGTAAAAACCCAGTTTTCCATAATCTCAGATAAATGGCGTAGTTATTCTTGGCTGATTACAGAAAACGGTCGTTTGGGTGTTCCTCAGTTGCTTAGTGCACAAGCGACGATAACGCTTTTAACGCAGTTGATTCTAATTTTATTTGTCACTGATGTATCTAGTTTGTTCAGTCAATAAACTGTTGGTGGGAAAGATAACGAAATCGGTTTTCTAGATACCGTAATTTATGCCAGCTGAATATCTTGGCTGTCTTCAGCATGGACTCCACATAACCCCGTTCTCGACCAGGGGTTTGTACTACAGTTCACGCTTTCACGCTTACTTTGTTACGTAGACGTCGAAGTGACTTGTAACTTACAGCCATCCCTCCCAAGGTTTAACTTAACCTCGACTTATTTTAAAATATACCTCTTTTGTTTGTCTGTTTTGTTTCCCCAGTGAAGGTCTCCGGAGAATTTGCCACTTTGTCTTTTCAAAAATCATGCGTATATATGCACGGGAATAAGTTCAGTATGACCGACATTAGGAAGATAAAACATATAACAGGATAAAGAGGCCTAAATGCCATAGTTTCCGTTATGTTTACGATAAAAATGACAGTACTTAAATTTTTGGCAGTGTCGTTTTAAAGCGGGCAGTAAAAAAAATCTCAAAATTGCTTAGTGGGCATGCGCCGACGAAATCACATTTTACTTGAGTCTCAGCCGCAATGAATAATACGTTTCTTTTGTTTTGTTCCCACAACACTCAGAACCAATTATGAACTATATTTTTAATGTATCGAAATTGGTCTTTTATTTTCATTTCTAAATCAAACACTTATCTGTTGCCCTTGTTTTCAAAAAGAGGCTTAGGGCAAATTTCCAGACATAGCTTAAAAGATCCTGGCATTGCTCATCCTTGACCTTGGAGTTTAATACTGGCATAATATCTCCAGTCTTACGGTCTCGTCACTTTAAAGCAGTGAATCAAACTTGCTAAGTAGAGAGCTTCAATGCTTTTTAAAATATTACAGGACCGTGAGACTTGAGTTATTATGCAAAAGTAGATATATAGCCTTTACGTTCAAAATGGCTCCTTGCGCATGCCTGAACAAAATTGTCATTGACAAATGGCACCGACAAGTTGATACCTAAACTTAAATTTTCAGAAAAAATGTATGGTTCCCAAAATATTTTTTGTGAAGGAACATCATATCATATTGATAAATTAAATTACCTTTAGTTAATCAGCAAAATCAAAACCTTAGCCCAAAGCTTATCACGTGCTACAACCGTGGCTAATCTGGGAGCTACATATAAACGGAGAGTTCAATGGTAAAATGCAGGGGTGCTCAAGGCATCCATATGCAACCCAGGGCTCTGTGATATTACCAAAATTTAAAATATCAGCAAGTCTACAGGGACAAACCTTTGAGTGGTGCCGGATCTCCCAGTTGTAGACCTGGTTCAGTACAATAATAACTTGAAGAAAATCATAAAACGGCAAACTGATCCTTATAATTAAAGTTAGGTTTCGGAAAGCGAAAATAGTCCGAAATTTGTTCCAAAAAGTTCAGAATCTTATTTTAGTGCAAAAAGCGCCAAAATTAGTGCGTTTCAAAAAAGACTTAGAAAAAAAATTAAAAATTTCTAAAGCAATAGCTGAAATCCCAAAGGCTAAGTATTGTTCTGTCTTTTGTTTTCTTTAAACAATGAATGTATGCATAATTAATGTATGGGGTTATACGGATATTTTCCTTTGATATAAGAGCTATAAAAAATTTATTTTTTAAAAAAACTCTTCTTATAAAGCATCATTTAATAACAACGACAGTCGTTACCGTACGTTCGATTAATATTTTAATCATTTTAAGAATTTTATATTTTTTAAAAGTGATTCTTTAGTTAAATTTCACTGTCTATTTATTATAAGAGTTCGTTTTAAACCTCAGTTTATTTAGTTTCGCTTGGCTTCATTGCAAGCAGCACTAGATCATAATTATTTACATGTCATATTTTGAGTTATATAAAAGTAGTAATTAAAATTACAGTGAAACCTGTATTAAGCGGCACCCTCGGGGAATGCTTTAGTGTCCGCTTAATACAGGGTGTCCGCCTAATACAGGTTTCGATAGATAACGTCATATGAGGTGTCAAATGCCATTCAAATGAACAATGGAAACGTTTAGAATACTCCCAGAGACTGTGACGATGTACGTTTTGCATTGATTTCTTTATCAAAGTGGAACAATTGATCATAGTACCATAAACAAAGATTGCAACTCAAATTTAATTGAAGAAATCAGACGAGTGAAACAAGCTCTATACAAACAAAACGAAATAGAAAACAGTACTGTACTGTGAAACTAATCAAATAAGCTCGCCAAGTCATGTTTTTTAATGTGAAATCGAAAAATTTGTGGGTGGCAATTCGAGGCAATCTTTCGCATTTCCGGTGTCTAGCGTGTTGGGTGGTGGAATTTAATTACAAGTGTCCGTTTAATATAGGTTGGCAACAATAGAAATGACCATTTCAGGTACTTTTTAAGGTGTCCGCGTCCGCTTAATAGAGGTGTCCGCTTAATAAAGGTTTCATTTAAAGTAAATAAGGGAAATAAATTTGGGGACTTCGGCTAGTGTCCGCTTAATAGAGGGTGTCCGCTTAATACGGTGTCCGCCTAATACAGGTTTCACTGTACTATAATCAATATTAAGAATATAAGATTACGTCATACTCACGTGGGTATTGCGAGGCAACATTTGGTGAGTTTGGCGAGGAAACGAAATTTAAAACTGTTCTCGAAGCACTGGGCCATCATCGCTGAGCTAGCGATTCTACACGACCGTTTTTTTCTTTATAACTCAATATCGTTGACATCTTGTACGAAAGCAAAGTTAGCATTATTTGCACGTTATTGAGAAATTTTAATATTTAAACAGCAAGAACGTGTAAAGTGCAACTGACACTGAAGTGTCGCAATCAGGTGTTCTTTGTAAATATCATAGCTTTGCATTTGCTTGAAAGCCTTTGGTATGGCCCGATGTTTACATAGAAATGATTTAAACTGCGCATAATTCGAATTACCAAAACGTCTCTTTCAATTTTGATTTCTCACCGAAACATTCTGCAATAACGACTGTTTACAGACGATCGATATAAGGAACAACTTACCTTACGAATTACGGCTGCTGAAGCAAACGATATATTCTAGAAATACTTCGCCATTTTTTCTTCTTGTCTGATTTCCGAGAAAGCCGCAAGGAGGAGTGAATAACAGCTCTCCAAAGTAGATCTCAAAGATCCGCCCAAAGCGAGACCAAGTGTCTCACTTGTAGGCCTTGAAAACTCGCTCGGACTACCTGACCCGAAATGCATCCGGCCGCGTGTAATAATGAGGACTTAGGGGACAAAGCAAATTCAATGGTTGAACTCTGGGAAACTCAAGGCGTTTGAATGCAACCCGGGCGTCTGT